AACCGATGGCAATGCATTCGTTTTTCTGATGAACAAAGAGAAGAAGACGAAGAAGAAAACCGATGAAAGTCATAGCGGTGCAGTGTTCAGATTACGAGGGCGCGTAGTCGGAATTTGACAACATCGGGCAACATTTAGTTCGTGTATTTTTGACATTTCATGGAATGTGATATAAAACGTGTTTGAGAAATTTCGAGTAATTTATTAAAATTAAAGTGAGTTCAATATTTTGATTAAATAACAGTGAAATTTTTTTTGAAAATATATGTGTTGAAGATGTCAAAAAGAAAAAGTTTATGTAAATATCTTTATGTTCTTTAAGGAGTCAGCAAAAAATATAATGAATATTCATACAGTATCATTTTTTTGCATAGTGCGGTAAAAACGGGTAAAAAGAAATATATTTGTGCCACAGACAGCAGTGTATTTTCCGATATTAGCATCCATTTGCAATCGTTTGCAATCAATTTATCTGTCAATACCGGTCAGTGCATATATGTGTTACAGCTGGAACAAAAATGTGCTGTATGTGGCACAAATGTACTTATACGTTTACGGATCGCTCGACAGCACTAATAACAAACTTATAAACAAATGGGTGCGTTTCATTCACAGCGTATATTGATTCGTTTCAATTATTCGATTAATGTAAATATATTTATGTTCTTTAAGAAGTCAGAAAAAAAATATATTTCTTTTTACCCGTTTTTACCGCACTCAGCCAAAAAAAAAATGATACTGTGTATTGGTGTGTATGAATATTCATTATATTTTTTGCTGCCTCCTTAAAGAACATAGAAATATTTACATTAACTTTTACTTTTGACATCTTCAACACATATATTTTCAAAATTTTTTTTACTGGTATTTTATCAAAATATTGAACTAACTTTAATTTTAATAGATTACTCGAAATTTCTCAAACACGTTTCATATCACATTCCATGAAATGTCAAAAATGCACGAACTAAATGCTGCCCGATGTTGTCAAATAAGAGATGGGCGCGTAAATGTGGCGGCGCCACTAGTAAAAAATTGCTTCACTGCTAATGTATGAGTTCGCGCGAGTGACGAAACGACATTAGTGTGTTGAAAAGTCGAACTCGCTATATATACACGTAATATACGAAATCCAGACCTAGAAGGCCGTTGGCCCTGGTTGTTGTATGGTTGGAAAGCCCAAGGGCCATAGATCAAGAAAAAATGTCAAAGTTTGAAAATCGGTCCACCCGTCTTCAAAATAAGGTCCTTTCAAGAAAAGGGTCAAAATTCAGTTTTTCCATGTATGGCACTACATGAGGTCATTGACCTCTAAAACATCGATATTCGGATTCTAGAGCTCAATACCTTTCCAACGACCCCCTAACCATCAAAATCGATCAAACTTTTCGAAAATTTCAGCGGTTTAAAAATTTCATATGAATCTCTATGAAAAATTAAAATGTCTGTCTGTCTCTGTGTGTACAATTTTGCGTAGTTATTTTTGATCTTTTTGAAACTTCCTGTGATTAAAGTACACAAAAAACTAAGACTTTTTCGTTCCGGCACTTTTCGAATTTCGGCCTCCAAAAGTCAATTTTTGACTTTTGTACCCACGGTCACCGAGGCACATACACTTGACAAACCCCGGAAATATGCATATCGTTGGAAAGGTCTTCTAGTGAGCTATCGAATGGTATCATTTGCGGTCCAAAAATTTCAATTTGGGTTGGCCAAATTGGCCAAAAACCAAAAAGTTACCATTCGGCCGGACACAAACCGTCCATTACCTCGAAAACAAGCTCAAGGATTTTTTTGAAAATTTCCCCGATTTTAGGCCCAAGACTAAGCTATAATATTCCGCATAGCTCATATCCCAGAAAATTCTTGTTTTCAAGATATGGCCTTCGATAGTGCAAAAATGGCCAAAAATGGCCATTTTTCAAACAATCGCTGTGGCACCTATACTTGACTTACCCAGGGCATTTGCATATTCGTTGGAAAGGTCTTAAAGTAAGCTATCGAATGGTGCCAATTGCGACTTAAAAATTTCAAATTGAGGTGGCCAAATCGGTCAAAAATCTAAATTTACACCGGACACATAATGGTCATTTTCTCGAAAAAGACTGCATAGGTTCTTTTCAAAAATTCATCAATTTTAGCCCCAAGTCAAAGATAAAAAAATAAGCATACCACACACTACTGCAAAAACCTCTGTTCCTCATTATGATCCATAATTTATATCATTTTGATCCAAAAAATAACCTAAAAATCTATATTTTCATTGTATTTGAAAAATATTCAAATTCATGGGTCTTGATTAACTTGGAAAATAGCGCTTACAAAACTATTGATATCAAATAAAAAACCTCTATCAACGTAGAGAACGAGTGACGAAACCAACATTTGAAACACAAAATTTCTGATATCAATTTTGTGACGAAAATATTTGGTAGATATATTTTTTGTGAACTGTGAATATAAACTTAATATACATTTGTATATTCGGAACGTTGCTTCATTGCGTCAGTATGAACTCAAAGTAAAAAGAAGAGAATTTCTGCAACTACAAAATCAAATTTTTTTTCGAACATTTTCGTTTTTTGGAGCAAAATAAAAAATTTCATGAATTTGATTGCAAGCGTCACTGAAAATTTATATCAGATCATTTCAGATTTCAGATGTGCAGTATTGCGTCACATTGGGAACTTCGAAAGAAGTTTTTTGTACTTATAATATACTATAGTAATTCAATAAAATCAGTTTTTTAGTAAAATAATAAAATATTCAATTATTAAACATTTTCATATTTCTATTTTATCGTTGTTGATTATTTACAATTTTTTTCTTTTTTAATTCTCCCTAGGTAAGACATCTCAAGCCTTATTTCAGCAAAACTTGCACAGTTGGACAAATTCAAACCAGTGATGATTTTCGCCATTTGGCACGAAAGGTAATTCCTAAAAATAACTTATTTAATACGAATGAATTTGCGACTTTTTCTGAGATTTTATTTTAAAAAATGTAGTAAAAGTCACACTTACATTCTCGGACAATCATTTTAATTAAAATTCTTTAGTTTATATGTTTAATTTTGAAATACCATTTCTCACTGCAGCTCACATTCTTTGTTATGCTAAAAGAACTAAAGTACTGTAATAACGTAAGCTTGCTGGAGGTAACAGAATCAGTAAAAAATAAGGCCCGTGAATATATAAAAAAATACATGTCGAAATTTGGAAAAACATACCTTCGTGATGAAAATGAAAAAGACTACCATTTTGAAGATTTGTAAATAAAGTGAAGGAACAACAACTCACATTTTTTTGAAAGAAATAAATTATTTTATTCATTAAAATAAAGTTAAATAACTTATCTACTAAATTATTTCAATTTTCTTTATGTATCGAGCTCTTTTTTTATTGACAAATAATATATGTAATTGAGTGTGAACAAAAATTTTTCAGAAACATATTGCGATGTTAACATTTTTGTATATGAATATAATAAATGGATTAAGATTGAAATAAAAAAAATGATTCCAAAGTAACAACAAAACTCATTTTATATGGTTGTGAAACCAGAAGAAATAAAATGTCTAACATCCGTAAGATGAACTTTTCCGGACTGTGATCCACCGAACGTTTTCCCACTGTATCTTTTACCGAAAATATGAATTCGTGAGAAAACTGAATCTTATATAAGTTTTGCGATACAAATAATTTTTGATAGACTTTTCAGGCCTGACAAATTTTTGCGATTGCCTTGAAACCTTTTTAGGGATTTAGTGACTAATTTGTGATAATTCGTGACACCAATATTTCGGCCCATGGAATAGACTTTCGGCCAATTTTGGCCATTTTTCTATTTAGGACTATTGGCCAAAAAGTCTCTTAGCGAAATTTTGAATAAAAGCAAAAAATAAAAATCTAATGATGTAGAATTTTAGTGATTAATTTGTGACTCACAAATATGACTTTAGATTTTCGATACGACATCTGGTGGACATATTATGAACAAAAACTTGAAAAATGCACAAAAATGATTTTAATCGAAAAATTGAAAAGGCTTTTCATAAAAATGGGCAAAATTATAAAAATTCTTCGACATAATTTTAGTGACTAATTTGTGACTGCCAAAAATGTCAAAATTTGAATTTGTGACACAACGTGTGTAACAGAAATCACCATTTTTCGATTTTCACTCTAAAAGTCGAAAAACAATGAAATTTTTTAAATCGAATACGTAGATCCAAATAAATGATGCCATCTTTTAGTGACCAATTTGTGACTCTCAAAAATGTCAACATTTGAATTTGTGACACAACGTGTGTGACAGAAATCTCAATTTTTCGATTTTCATACTAAAAGTCGAAAAACAATGAAATTTTCTAAATCGAATACGTAGATCCAAATAAATGATGCCAACTTTTAGTGACCAATTTGTCACTCTCGAAAATGTCAACATTTGAATTTGTGTCACAATTTATGTGACAGAAATCTCAATTTTTCGACTTTCACACTAAAAGTCGAAAACAATGAAATTTTGCCAATCGAATACGTAGATCCAAATAAATGGTGTCATATTTTAGTGACCAATTTGTGACTCTCAAAAGTGTCATCATTTGAATTTGTGAGCATGAATCTAATGAACATCGTCCACGAAAGTCAGCATGCATTTATTGTGAAAATCGAAAAATTGAGATTTCTGTCACACGCGTTGTGTCACAAATTCAAATGTTGACATTTTTGAGAGACACAAATTGGTCATTAAAATATGACCGCATTTATTTGGATCTACGTATTCCATTTGCAAAATTTCATTCAACTTCGACCTTTAGTGTGAAAATCGAAAAATTGAGATTTTTGTCTCACACTTTGTGTGCCAAATTCAAATGTTGACATTTTTGAGAGTAACAAATTGGTCACTAAAAGATGACACCATTTATTTGGATCTACGTATTCGCTTTGCAAAAGAAGCTTTTCTCCGATATTCGACAGAATGATATGTTTTTACAGTCGTGTCAAAAAATTTTAAGCCTGGCATATAAAGAGAAGTAGTTTCAAATCGTTGTTGTGCTGTAATTGAAGTAAGAACCTTCAAACTTATAGCTACAAAAAATTGGGACAATATCTCTTATGGATAGTTTCCTATGTTGGCCATTTGGCCATCATTTCGAAATCCTTGAAATCTTTTACAAAATCAACTACTTCATTTTCCTCTTGGGATATTTTTCATATTTAAAAAGTGGAAATACTAGCTAAAGGCCGGCCCCAATAAATACAATAGATGGTGAATTTGAATCAAAGTTCAGGTGGTGGTTGTGCTTGTCCAAATATTAACTTGCGAGCTGTCATGCGAGTACAAAATTTTCTTCAGAAGAAAACGTTATTTTACTTCTACTACAAAAACGCAATCTATACATCTTTCGAGCGTAGTACAGTCCCAAGACCATAATATACCATTTGTATCCTAGAAACAGAAGCCATATGTTTAAAAGCATCTGTTTGGAGGCGACCTTCTACTGGTGCCTTTTCACCACTTCATACTACTGTGTTCTCTTTACTTTAGTATTTAATTTATAGTACTGGAACCAGGCTTCATTGACAACTACTATTGATTTATTCACCACATTCTAGAAGCTTGAGAAATCCATCACGAAGAGAAAAGTGTTTATCTGTCATAATTTTTTCAAAGACTTTTTGAATGTTCGCGAACAAACGTTCTCCAAGTAACATTTTCCGTGTGATATATTGAAGACACTATCCGCTGCGATGCTGAGGGTCGCAGCTGTTGTACTGTTGGACATTTGGAATATTTCATGAACTACACTTGGATTTTGGCCATCACATCTTGAACTGTTTTCACTAATGTCACAAAAGTGTGAGAGTCAACATTCATCCAGTCTCTGCACAACTATGAAGATTTTTCTTATTCTTTGACTATGGTATACGATGGAGGAGGGTCACCATAAACTACACGCAAGAAGTGATTGAAATCGTTTTATGCTATACCATCTTTTGTGAGATACCTAATCTCAACATGATTTTGGAATTTTTCAGTTTTTCAAAAATATCAAAATGATCAAATGCCTAATGTTGAAGTAAACAAATGAAGAGAGATATGCACTCAATTTTTTATACTGTCGACAGTTCATACTTCAATTACAGCACAAGAACGATTCGAAACTACTTCTCTTTATATGCCAGGCTTAAAACTTTTTGTGTCACAGGTGTGTCACCTGTAGTTCTATCATTTATAACAGATGGTGCCACATATAAATTCGTAGCAATGTTGGGATTAAAAAATAATCCATTTAGATTATTAAAAAAAATTAAAAAGATTAAATTGTTTGTATTTTTTTTGTTTCAATTCAATATTTTACATTTTGTTTTCATGAAAATATATTATTTTTTACACAAATTCGATACAACTTTCAGTGTTGACAGCTTATGAACGCACTCTTGAAATGAGATAAACAATACAAAATACGTCGTATAATAGAAATTAAAAATTATAAGATTACTATTTTTTACTCCATACTTAATTTAGTTTATTTTTTTAAAGCAAAACGACAACAATATTAATATAATCTGAGAAAATACAGATGGGAAAACTCAAAGTAATAAGCAAAATGCCATCTTAACATGGACATATTTTCTCACATATTAAAATGCCAATTTAACCGCAACACATTTTGTTTGCGGGTAGAATGCTATTTCAACATGTAAAAAAATATGTTCATGTTAAAGTATCAATTTGTATAATTTAAAAATAATCTTTTCTCATTTAAATGTTCTTAAAAAAAAGCTATCGATAAAAAATTACAATATACCGATTTTTTTATTCTAATAATTTTTCTGCACATATTTATCCATCATATTGTAATTTTTCTCCAATATCATTTTTTAAGAATATTTAATTGAAAAAAAAAAATTCTTTTAAATTACACAAATATACAAATTGACGACAAAATGCCATTTTAACATGAACACATTTTTTACATGTTAAAATAGCATTTGACCTGCAAACAAAATGTGTTACGGTTGAATTGGCATTTTAACATGTGAGAAAATATTTCCATGTTAAAATGGCATTTTGCTCTTATTACTTTGAGTTTTCCCGTCTATATTTTCTCAGAGTATATTGATATTTGTGTCGTTTTGTTATAATAAAATATAAATTAAATTAAGTATGGAGCAAAAAATATCAATCTAATAATTTTTAATTTCAATTATACGACGTATTTTGTATCAAATAAAAAACCTCTATCGAGGTGAAGAACGAGTGACGAAACAAAAATTTGAAACACAAAATTTCTGATATCAATTTTGTGACGAAAATAGTTGGTAGATATATGTTCTGTGTACTCTGAATATAAACTTAATATACATTTGTATATTCGAAACGTTGCAGAAATTCTCTTCTTTTACTTTTCCGCACACATAGTGTAAGGTGAAAAGTATTGTAATCG